GAAAAACAGAAGTCCTTGGCACTTACTATATCAAAGAAGCCAAACCAAATACCTCCCACTGCCATACCTGGGGCAAATCATTGGCTACTGTGACACATCAGGGCCTGTGCAGTGCAGGAAATCACACAGAGCAGCTCGTAGCTGTGTAGACCTCAGAGACACAAGAAGAATCCCCAGCTAAGTGGAACTGGACAGCGGCATTTTACAGCTACCCACTTGAGTTAAGCAATTTTTCATTTTCCTCACATACAGCATTCTGTCTTCATTTGGTTCTCAAGGGAAGTTACTATTTCCTGCAAAGCAGCACTCACATGTGGGAAGGAAACATGAACCATGGCCTTCCACAAAAGAGAGCCTGAATTGAGATCCAAGGTGGAAAATGTAATTACCACTTTCATGAACTCTCTATCAAGATATGTACTTCCCCTCTTTTATCACATGCACAGATCCACAAAGATCTGACTGCTCCTAAGGTCATTTTTACATCTCTTAACATCTATGACAAAATTAGAACACAGATATATCCCCCTCCCATGTCCTCATTCCACATCAGCTGTAATAACATGTCAAGGAAAGAAAACCACACAAGCAATGCAGAGATGCATAAGAAGTGCTTTCAGAGAAACTCACCAGGAGGAAATCTCAGCCTTCTCTGCGGGCCGCTCTGCACTTTGACAGCTGCAGCAGAGATGATTCTGCATTATCACAGCATAGACAAAATGTTCCTGGCTGAGCAGACATGGTCATGAAACCCTTCCTCTGTACAGCTGTAAACACCACAGGTGTGTGTGGGAACTGCACCTGCACTCGGGCAGCTGGGACAGAGGAGACCTTCCAGTGAGATCAGACACCCTGAGGTTCAGCTCATGACCACAAGCACTGCAAGAGTTAGAAACACGTGGAAATGGACAGATGCAATAACATTCCGTAGGTCGCCCTTGCTCTACAGAAGGAACTCAAATCACACTGGACTCCATCAGGCACAGCCTGGGGTTATCTGTGACATGTGACAAGCAAGGCAATGACCGAGTTCTTCTCCAGCCTCACACACAGAGCTCCCCTGTCTGCTTTTTCTTCCATGCCAGGCCACTGTGAGGTTTTGCTTGTGGCCATCTCCTCACTGCTCAAATCTACCATGAGAGGATAATGCACTGCAGCCACACCCAGAAGGGAGGTGCAATTCTTTGCTCACCACCATTATGATGAGGAACTGAAGGATTCTAGAGCACACAAATGATAAACAACCCTAGTGAAAGATCAGCAGTCACCCAATGGAGAATGGCTCATCAAACCATTAGATTTGGGGGCATCTCCTCCCTGATAGTATCACATTCTCATTTCCACAGAGATGCAACATCTCCAAATACCATATTTACATCTATTTCTCCAACAGAAACAGAACAGAAAGTCACTCTCATATCTGCTGTCTTCCACTCCCACTGCAATAAGTGAAGGGGACATTAACACACCATACATTACTCAAAAAATGATTGGTTGTTGATAATAGAAAACACGACCACATACTGCATAAATCAAAGAAAAAAAAATCAGCAGTAATACTCAAAACATGAATTGGATAAGGCGAGAAAGCATACGAAGACATCAAGTAGTCAGAGATGCTCACTGTGAAATGCTCTAGGCCTTCATTGCAGGCATTAAAATCCATCCCTGAGAGCACCTGGAAGTCACTGAGGCCTCAAGCTGCAAGTGTGGCCTGGAAGACTTACACAGCACAGCAGGATAGGGGGGTTCATTTGAAGAATTAGTCCTCTCCTCAGCAACTTCTTCTACTGCATGCATGGCCTGCTCACCTTGCACAGTTATGAAACCATCATTTCAAACAGCTTCTCATCAGCCTCTTTCTTAAGGTAAATCTTCTGACAAATTCCAACAGATTCTCTTCTTGCTCCTGGTTCCTATTTTTCCTGTTACACACACACACAACTTTCTCCTAGGTGGCTGCAGTAATGATGTGCTGAAAAAAAACAGTCACTGTTTCCTATTTAAAAGTACTGACCAGAATTGTGAAAAGGAGCTGCAACCTCCCTGGAAACAAACCCCTGAATGAAAGTGCAGTTACAACTCTGAAGAAACTCTATATCACATTGTAGCATAGAAATACAGGTAAATAATGGAGGTTTCACACTGGATTAATTGGCTCTTCCAGCCAACAATTACAGTTCTACACAAACACTTACTGTGGAAAATGTTACCATTGGAAGATTGTCATTGTCTTTCATGACACAGAAACCAGGATCAGAACAGCAATGGCACTGCCTTTGGCACCAAGCATGAAATCAAACCATTTCTCTGCCAAACCCATAGAGCTTCAATGACTTTCCTGGCACAAAACTGAGCTCTCACCCTCCTCACTCTGCGTTTACAGCCTGCAGTTTCACCATCAACACATACCAAAATTTTAGTTCCATATCAGCCACAGGGAAAAGAACACCTTGGGGAAACATCCATTCATGAAGTTGTATTTCTTAAATGAAGTATTCAGGGTCAGGCTGGCTGGGGATCTGAGCAACCTGCTCTGGTGGAAGATGTCCCTGCCCACGGCAGAGGAGCTGGAACAAGAGGATCTTTAAGGTGTTTTGCAACACAAACCATTCTCTGATTCTGTGTTTCTAGGATAATATGATTACATGTACAGCTTCAAGGGATGGATGAGAGATGCTCTCCCTGCAGGGCAATTATATGTTTTGGAGTTTGCAGAATTGCCAGGCACAATGAGGATCAGCTTTACTCCTTAACAAAAATACAAGCAACCCACCAAACAAACAACCCAAACCAAACAAATCTAATCAACCGAGCCAAGAATGGGAAAACCCCAGAAGAGTATCAATCATGGCCTCACATTTCAGATTGGGTCAGCTGTAGTATATACACAGCACAGGAAACTGGACTGTAACTCATACACAGGAGGCCTCACACAGGAGCTCACTACACAGACCCCACACTGACATTTCCTTGGATACAAAGACAAAGAAAAAGCTTGGAACCACAGCTGTGGGCCTCATCCAACTACTAGGACAAAATACACAGCACAGGAAACTGGACTGTAACTCATACACAGGAGGCCTCACACAGGAGCTCACTACACAGACCCCACACTGTCATTTCCTTGGATACAAAGAGAAAGAAAAAGCTTGGAACCACAGCTGTGGGCCTCATCCAACTACTAGGACAATCAGAAGTGGACACAATTCATTCATGCAGTTTGAACTGTATCACAGTGAACTCCAGCACCAGCCCTGTCTCTGGACACACAGACTTCTTCTCTCTGTCCAAACATAACATGAAAGCAAAGTTTGCATTCAGACATCATTGGATGAAAACTCATGTGCCCAGCTTCTCAGAGCCCAAGCATCACAACTAAGATTATTCTGTTCCTCCCAATTATTTGAACAAGTGGGAAATGTTATAGAGGCCATAAATGACTACCAGCTCTGTCAAAGACCCACACATCCAAGTAGCACCTCAAAGGCAACATCAGCGTTCTTCAGCACATGGACTCCTCAAAGGATGTGTGACAGCCACTCTTGATGCAAAGGAATATGGAACCCAAACGAGGCCATTTGAGTCCAAACCACACAACTGAAAATCATAAGACTCCTCCTGACTCATTTCCAGAAGGCCAGCAATAGCCCTGGGGATCAACAAAACACATGCCATGTCTCCACCAGGACTCCTCACACACCACAGCCCCAACACGCCCCACTAACCCTTCACAGAACCCATGCTTAACACGGATCATCACAAGTTAGAGAGACAGCACCAAAAAGGGAAGTTGCTCAGATTTCTTACCATGAACCATTCTCAGTATCTTCTCACCATGGATAATATTTGACATCTCAGCCAAGCCATGAGACAACTAAAAGCATTTATTACAGAGA